CGGTCTTCTGTGTCGCTCGCGCTGGGAGTTGGAGACTGGAGCTGTTCCTATTCGGCCATCTTGCTCCGCCCCAATGCAAATCTCTTGGTGAAACCCAGACAGCCCTCTATGATGCAGCAGAATAGACTCCGCACTGCCAAAGACAGGGAGTCCCAATCACTGTCATCTATGTGCATGGAGCTGTGCACTGAGGCAGCCCTGAGCCTCCATCCAATTCCATCTCCTACAGTTTTCCCTATCAAATCCTATGTTTTGGCCACACTGAAATACTGGAGTTCCCAAACAAGTCACACAGTTTCACTTCTCATCTTTGTATCTTCTCTTCCCTTTGCCTAAAGTGTCCTCTGGCCTTCATTCAAATTCTATGGGTCAAGCATTTTATCAGGTCTGGAGAAATTTCAATAAACTGTTTAAGATGTATTTGCTGAAATTAAACTTCTATTTTACAGTTTTTGCAAGTGGGTAAGAATCAAAGCAGCGATTCACTCTACTCCAGATGAACTGCTCCCACTGCTGCCACAACAGACCCTCCTCAGAGCCCTGAGGAGCAACACTGTCAGTATCTCATGCTCCTCTCTCCCCACAAACCCAGCTTTTCCTTCATCTTTCCTCCCTCCTCCCAGTAAAGGCCAGTCTTGTCCAATCTGTGAAGCTTCCTTTCCATCACATGAGGTCTGGGTGGGACCCTGGTCCCATGGCTTAAAGACCAAATTACCTTGGACACTTAAATTCATCTTTATGTGGCAACTTTAGCTACTTCACAGGACGTGCCATGGCATTTTAACTGTAATATGTTGGAGAGGCATTATAGCTACTATTACTCTAACACATTCAAGAGGCTATCTTATTGTTTCATGAAAGTTAAGCTATTTGTGTTATTTCCATGAAATCTGAAATACCCATCAATTTGGAAGAGGGATATCTCAGTTGGTTAAAATTTGAGTCTATAAAGTTTTCTTAAAAAGAAAACTGATTATACATTTTTAGCCACACAGTAGTTTTCAGTGGGAGACAGAAATGCTTGGCCCTACTCTCACCCCTAGGAATATTTCGAAACTGATGGGGAGAGGTTTTGATATCACATGATCCTGGAATGCTACTAGCATTTGACATCGGGAGCCTGGGATGCTAAATATACCTCAGAAACACCCCAGTAGGGACACACTGAAAACAAGACTTCAGACTAGACACATAAAAAAGTATTAATAATTCTGGGGCCGGGCGCGGTGGCTCACGCCTGTAATCCCAGCACCCTGGGAAGCCGAGGCAGGCGGATCACGAGGTCAGGAGATTGAGACCATCCTGGCTAACACGGTGAAACCCTGTCTCTGCTAAAAATACAAAAATTAGCTGGGCATGGTTGAGGGTGCCTGTAGTCCCAGCTACTTGGGAGACTGAGGCAGCAGAATGGCGTGAACCCAGGAGGCGGAGGTTGCAGTGAGCTGAGATTATGCCACTGCACTCCAGCCTGTGCGACAGAGTGAGACTCCATCTCAGGAAAAAAAAAAAAAAAAGTATTAATAATTCCAAGGTAAAAGCACTACCTGCCTAGACCAAAAATTACAGTTAGGAGAATACAGAATAGAGTTAGTATAGAAAAAAAAAATGACACTTAGAGAAACTATGGATTAAATTATGGATTAAATAGAATAAGCATTCATCTCACAATCTTAATATTCTTATTTTTAATAGCAAATCATCTTTAACATAACTAATACAAAGTTATGCATGTATTGCCCATACTTAAACTGTGTAATATGAATTAAAGTGGATTGTTACTTATTACTGATTTTTGTATTTGGTTATTATTAGCAATATGAAAATACATACTTAATAGTTTATCCAGAAACACTAAAGCCAAACCAAAACAAAAGCAGTGAAATTAGTTAAAACATGATTTTGTCTAGTTTTTCCAAAATCAAAATATACAACACATCAAATTACATATACCTTACCAATGCTCAATTACCAATGCTCAGTAAACATTAATATCTAAAGACTAAAAATCTATAGTGTTTTATCCAATACTGCTGCTAAATATTTTTGGCTTACCTCATAAGGTAGTTTATCAAAATATCCATTATTTGGCCCTTCCCTGAGGACAGCACTGCTAAACTTTTTGTTAAGATTGTCCATTCCACAACCATCCTTTTCTTCATAGGCATCATCATCTATATCATTCATGTCAATAAGTGAAGTCTTGAGAGAAAGCACTGGCTTGTCCTTCACACCATGTAGCACAACTGCATCTAATTCAGTGTAATAATCCAGAAGAGAACTATTTACTTCCAGTCGTATAAGATTTGTGGGAAAATTTATCTGCTTAATACAAGGTTTAAACTGGCGAGCTTGGGAAGCATTCAACTTCGTAGGTCTCTCTGACCAAAGAATCTCCCATCTGCCAAAAAAAGAAACTTCCCTATAATACAGTTTAGAATGAGATCTACTGGTCCCTTAAGGTTATAGCCCCATGCCCAATATGTCACAGTGTGAAACAAAGTCATCAAAATAAACAGAATCCAATATAAGTATTGTTCCCAAGATATAAAGACTTTAAAAAACCAAATGCCACAGACCTTATTACGTAATTTATTTTTATAAGTCCCCAAACAGTCCTTTTTTTTATAGATTTCACATTGGTCAGTTTAAAAACCGGAACATGTAGTTAGAGGTAGCTGAACAACATTCCATTTTACAAGATAAGTAAACTCAAAGTAAGAATAAAACACATGAAGATGAAGCTCTCCTGTGTACATAGCTTAAACCAACCGCAAAAACTAAACTGATCATTTTGCTTCACAAAGGTCTCCTACTTCAGCCTTTCCATTTCTGTCACTAGCCTCATATAAACGCAAAATTTTCATATTATCTTTTTCTCTTTATTTTATCAAATCATGAAGTTTCATCAACTGTTTCAAGAAAGTGTTTCTTATATATGCCCTTCTCCTGAATTTCCATTTTTGCCATCTTTAAGTTATCCTTATATCCTTAGTATCTAGCAAATATCTAAACACATAAAAGGGGAATAACATTCTCCTATTTCTCCAAATGAACTCCTGCTTCCCAGCCAGATTAATCATTATTTTCCATGCAATAAACTTATTTCCACCTTTATGTCTTTGCTCGTGTTATCTTCCTCCCCATGAAATGCCCAACCTACTATTATCTGCCTATCTATTCTTCAAGGCCTAACTTATATTCCATCTCCATATAAGTCTTCTTATAGAACTATTTTCCAAAATTAAAGATTCTTCATAATCATAGTATCATCAGGTACTTAATATACTTATATGTCAGTTAACTATTTCTTTAATATTGTTTCTAATAGAGAAGAGAAAATTAGAAACATTTAAAAAATACTTCAATTATCATCCTTCCTCTATTCTTAATTATTTACTGTGGCTAGTAAAATTTTTTAATAAAGATTTTACATCAAAGAATAAGAATATTTTTAAGTCTCTCAATATACACTACAAACTGCTTTCAAAAAAGCTTATGCCAATAGTACATAAGAATGATCACTGAAAGCATTAAAAATAATCTCTAGTTTGATTGTGAGCCATATCTCCTTATGATGTAATTTGTAATTCACTGATTACTAATAACACTTAATTTTTTTATATACTCATTAATTACATGAGATTTTTTCCACCAATAAATTGTTCGTTTATTTTCCTGGCCCAATGACCTACTGAGATCTAAGTAAAAACTGATAATGGCAAAGCATAGAGGCAACTGAGAAAAAAAAAAAAAAAGAATTTGAAATTCAAGGAAGAAATCAGAGCCAAAACTATAGAAGCCATCAACATATAGGTACTCCAACTGTTTTAGGCCCAAGAATGGACCAAGAAAAGCATATAGCCACAATCTTGGAAGAATAGAGAGGGAAGTATGGCAATTTCCACCTCCAGGAATAAAAGCAAGCTCCAGAGGAATTCTAATAAACATATCACGAAGGGAATCAGGAACCACAGAACAGGGAACTTTAACAGTAGGGACTTTTATTGAAGTTTCCAGAATATTTAAAATCCCATACTTGTTATTTTTGCTGATTCTCTCCTGAAATGTAGGAATAAAATCCATCAAACATAAATAGCCTGTGAGTACTTGTATTCAGAGGCAACAATAAAGTAGCAATGGAGAAATTAGTTACAATCTATAACCAATCTTGCAAGGCAGGGAAAGAGTTCCAAAGAATAGAGCAGGCTGTGGCAGGTTTAATGAGGAAAGAGAAGCAGGTGGGTATCTTCTTCCAGTGACAAGGCGGAAAAATAAACCTGGCGTGCCAACCTGAACCTAAGAAGTGTCCCTAGAGATTAGCTTGTAAAATCAAAGGTTCCTAACAAAGGAATTGATTTGAATAACTCTAATGTAAATATATGCAGTAAAACAGAGCTAGTCATATAGGTGCTGGGGAACAGAAGCTGAAATATCTAAAACAATACTGGTGAGAAAATTCAAATTTTGGTCTTACTCTTTCGTCACTACTGCAAATTGACACCAGACAATGCTGGAGGAACATCTCCAAGAAACAAGGACCCCTCAAGACCCTATGAAATAACCACCTATACTGGTTTACAGCACATGTGAACCAAACCAACCTTTTTGTTTAGTTTCAATGGGGAGTTTTGTGAGGCCTAAGAAAAACACTGAAAATATAATATAGAAATAACGTCTGCCAAGTGCTTAGCAATAAATAAATATGCACACAATACAGGTCTTCATGTATAATTTGAAATGCATTATAATGTAAATCAAATTAAAAAATTATAAATATAAGTATAAAGATACTGATTAGAACATAAATATTCCATTTTAATAATGCATTAATCTACAAAACTCCTCTCTAGCTACCTTGCAGAACATGCAAAATAGACAGGGTGAGATGATGCTTTAAACTGACTTCCTTAACATTTCTAGCATGTTTAAACTTATTAGGATTAATGTTATTTTAGCATCATTCTTGCTTCTGACTTCTATATAGCATGAAGATTATTTAGTTACACATATATCAGAAGCTGCAAAAATTACACTTAAAGTAGAATATCAGGATCGTACCTGTCTTTAGATAAAGATTTAAAAATATGTCTAAATATTAAAAATTTGCAAGTAAATCATTAGTTTTTATATTTTACTTTTATTTTTCTTGATAATCGAAAAAGCAACAAGAAAAAAAAGACAAAAATTATTTCTAGGTCTGTGGACACTTGAATTAATATTAACTATGAGACCAATACAAATAGATTTTCTGCTATCTGCATTAAAGTTTCTGTTTAAAATTCCCCAACAGAGCTAAAATGTATCATTTCAAAGTTAAAAAGAGAAAGGTATCTATCTTACCCAACAAGAGAATATTCAAATTTCTTTTTATTCTGGAAAACTAAAGCCAGAATAATAAAAACTAGTCAGTGACAACAAGAAAACAAACATAAACATATGCACATGTACACAGGGGTACACACACATACACACGCACAAACACACACACATTCTGGAGAAAGCCCAACTCTTTTAATTCTCTAGCCCCAGGGCAGAGTTGATATGATTAAACTCCTTTAGGTCATGGCCTCTGTAATATGTACATTTACATGTTTAGTATTATGCTCATACACTGTATTTACCTACTGGACAAATCTGACAAACTCTAATGTACTCTTTAAGTATTTTAAATCTCGAGTATCACATGTGCAAATTTCAGCCTGGAATGTCTTTGAGACTAGGCTTACAGTCTGCATCTGGAGCATTCAATTCTGGGATGGTAACCAGCACAGCCCATTTAATGTTCTTTCTGTTGATTGTACTGGATGACTACTATGTGTCCAGTGCTCAGAAACAATAAACCATTCTCTCTATGACTGTTGACTTGCTGTTATACCACTGAGAAACATTCTCCAGGGCAACCAGGAAGCAGTGGGTAGATGAGAGGAAGAGAGATGTTTCATTAATGGAAATCAAAGAAAGCAAGTTTTCTAACCTGTATTGAGGCTTGAAGCCAGGCAGATGAGTACATAAAGCTTCCCTGCAACCAAAATTTATCCTAGCCAGTTAGTATATCTAGTAGCCAGCAAAGAAAGTTATCTTGCCAACCCTGTTCCATTTCACTAGCTGAAAGTAAAGGAATAGTATAGGAAAACAGAAATAAAAGTAAAAAGTATTCTGACAGGTGTATCTATTCACTCCCTGCCTCCCAGACCATTTCTAATTGGAAACTAATAAACTAGCATGTACTTAAAAAAAAAAAAAAAAAAAAAAAAATTAACTAGCGAAGAGCTCAGTCAATTCTGAGTTAAATGACAAAATCATGTTTCTTGGCCCACAGAGTCGAAAGGACCAGGTCATGACAAATTTGTGAAATCGTTACTTAACTCAATTTGGTAGCAAATTCTATGAAAGCCTCTTTTTTTCTCCCTGCTTTCTTAATTTCAATATTATATAGTTGGAGTGCTTTGTACACTGAAAAAAAATTCCACATCATTAAATTTCATTCCCAAATAACTTTATTCCAACTGGTTTCTTTAATCTGACCTCTATTTGTCATCTTCCTCTTCCCCTTTTCCTTGTCTCTCTCTTCCAAATGGTAACCCTGAGCTAGCCTACTTTCTGAGTCTTACATAGGCATCCATTAAGATATTATTCACAGGACTAGGGCACTCTAAAACCTGCAACCTCCACCTGCTGGTTTCAAGCGATTCTCCTGCCTCAGTCTCCCGAGTAGCTGGAATTACAGGCGCCCACCACCATGCCTGGCTAATTTTTGTATTTTTAGTAGAGATGGGGGTTTCACTATTTTGGCCAGGCTGGTCTCGAACTCCTGACCTTGTGACCCACCCACCTGGGCCTCCCAAAGTGCTGGGATTACAGGCGTGAGCCACTATGCCTGGCCTTTTCCTTTTCCTCTTAATAAGGTATTAAGCAAGAAATGAAAAGACTTTAAGATCTGGTAGAACTGCCTGTAACTTTTCCACTTCATTTACTGAACAAAGAAATGCAATCACATGAAATAGGAAAAGACTGGTTTTAAATTTTAAATGTTCTGGGACTAAAAGTAGTTAATTTCCTGCAAATTCCTGAGCTACTCCAACACACTCTTGTTTGTTAACTTCTAAGGGGGGGATATAAAATTAAAATAATAGGCAGTGCAGCCCAGTGGTTCCCAAACAGTAGTACAAGATGGAGTTTTCCATCACTAAGTGTGAGAATGCACATTTAGTATGCACCTATCACACATATATGTTCTTATAAAATTGAAAAAAATCTTTATTCAAGATTCTAATCATGCTAATTTCTTGGTATAAACTGAGTTGCTTAAGTAATCATTTCACAAATTTGTCATGATCTGGTCCTTTCGACTTTGTTGGCGAAGAAACATGATTTTGTCATTTAACTCGGAATTGACCAAGCTCATCACTGGTTAATTTTTTTTTAAAACAGATGCATAAACTTTTATGAAATGATGGTGATGATAGATAAAATTGGTATTTTGTCTTTTCACTGTACATTAATTTAGCACAGTAAATAATCCAACAAGTCGATGAGTTCCCTAATGTTTATGATCATTATTATGTTACTAGTTTATTGTGACTGACTCCTCCCACTTGAACTCCATTCACCTGCACACCCCCCATCTCATCAGTTCTATGTGCCACCCTGCAGATAGGCTTGCTTTGCTCCTAAGGGTTTACACCTACAACCTCCTTCACAAAACTACCTTGGGCTTCATCTAGGGAGTGACATGTGCCTGGAAGACTGACAGTCCCCATTCCCACCCTTCCAGCCCATGGTCGAAGTCTGGTTGGTGCAGGAGTACGAGAGTCCAGCTCTCTAGCAACTTTGCCTCCCAGCAGACTGAGACTTCACATGATATTGCATCCTTGCTTGACTTTTTCCCATCGTGCTTCCTCTACTCCCTTACTAGCTTCTCCCACAGTTTTTGCATAATAAATTGCAGAGGAATAGTCGCCTCAAGATATTCTTCTGGGAAGCTGGATCCAAAATTCTATAAAATCCAAAAGTCTAGAAACCACTAGTTTAAATCTTAAGAATGTCACTCCCATGTCTGCATTTGCCAATAGCTTATTCTCTGCATTCTTGGACTTTTCTCACTTCTTCAAACACCATGATCTTAGCTCACGATCTCACCTTCAAATGTGCTGTCGTTTCTCCTCCTTTCCTATCCACACTGGGGCCTCACTCAACCCTCAGGTTGCAGGTAAGTCACTTCCCCAGGGAAGCCTTCTCTGAGCCCATAGATTAGGTTCTCCCCTCTGCCAATACATGTTCTATATGGTCCTCTTCTAGGCTGGCCTGTAAGCTCATAAAAGAGCCATCTCTGTCTGACTCTCTACTTGGTTCCTAGCAGTAAACTAGCAGAGAGGGTGTTCAATAAATGTTTCTGATTGTATAAAAAAATTCACCCAAATGTTACCAGTTACTGAATTTGGGCAGAAGAATTACAGATTTTTTTCATATATATTTTCCTTTTTTTTGTATTTTCTAGCTTCTTTTTAAACAATGAAACAGCTATTGATTTCATAATCAGTAAAATTTAAAAAGGCTTTTCATATACCTTAATAATATATTGGTCACCTTTTTTTCTCTTAAAATGTAATGATATTTTCAGTAGATTAAAGCTGAAAATCAGTAAAGAAAATCAGAGATACATGTATAAATAAAGTTTTAACTTTAATCACAATCACACACCAGTAACTCTCAGTAACCCAAGAGCATGATTTATACTTAAAATTAGTTATACAGCTGTTAAGTTTTACACTGGAGAAAACACATTACATGTTCCATTGATCTCATCCCTAAATCTTTTCAGATTCTTGGGAAAAAGTGGATAACTTTGTAAGAAGAATGACAGAGTCCTAATAAAACAATTCTCATGTAAGAAAAGATCCTGCCATGCACGGTGGCTCATGTCTGTAATCCCAGCATTTTGGGAGGCCGAGGCGGGCGGATCACCTGAGGTCAAGAGTTTGAGATCAGCCTGCCCAACATGGTGAAACCCCATCTCTACTAAAACTATAAAAATTAGCCAGGCATGGTGGCATGTACCTGTAATCCTAGCTACTCAGGCGGCTGAGGCAGGAGAATCTTGTGAACCCAGGAGGCAGAGGTTGCAGTGAGCCGAGACCATGTCACTATACTCTAGCCTGGGCGACAGAGAGAGAGACCCTGTCTCAAAACAAAACAAAACAAAAGATCCTACCCCGGTAATACTTTTTTTTTCTTCTTAAGGAGAAAAAAAAATCTGATTTTAGTTAAAGTATGCTGGCTTTCTGAGATTAAAAAATGACTAATAACATTATTTGCAATGAATTATTAGGTAGTTCTGGGGGAAAAAAAGTAAAGATTATACCAGCAATCTTCAAGTTGAGCTGTACTCTGTATGCTTTCTGGCAGGCCCTGGAAGTGTTCCCTTAGAGATGAGGGGACAGAGACATCAGAGGAGCAGCATGTTACAGAGGTAGCAGCTGACCCCTGCCCACCTCCTCCTGCACTGGCAGCTGGCCATCCTACAGCTGAACAGGCGCCCTGATCTGCTCTCAGGCTAGAATAAGCTCCTGAGAGCAGGGATTTTTATTTACTTTGTTCATTGCTCACTGACACATCTCTAATACCTAGAACAACACCTAGCACATGGTAGACACTAAAATATTTAATGAATGAGTGATTTAATAAAGTGATATAAAGTCCTAGGAACTGCTAAGATTCATAAGTAATAGAAAAAATCAGCAAATAATATGATCAGATAGTTAAAGGAAAAAGAAATATAAATGGTTTTTAAACATATGAAAAGATTTCAACCTCAGAGATAATAAAAGAATTTTAACAGTTAACATGAGATAACATTTTTCACCTATTAAATTGCAAAAATATTGAAATTTATTAACATACTCTGTAGGCGAGGCTTTGGCAAAACACTCATGTACATGCCCTGCTAGTGGGAATATAAATAGTACAGACCCTTTGGAGAGGAATTTGGCATTATATATCAAAATTACAACTGTTAAAAATTAAAATTAAATGTAATTAAAAATAAATTGTTAAAATGCAAAAACAAATGTTAAACATTACAAAATTATCAAATTATCCTTGGTTGAGTAACCTTCTTCTGGGAAATTTATCCCACAGATATACTTGCACACATGTGAAGTGACTTATGATAAGGTAATTCCCTGCATTAATGTTTATAACAGCAAAAGACTAGAAACTACTAAGTGCCCATCAATGGGGGACTAGTTAATAAGTTGGGGTTCATACACACTATGCATTCCTTGCAACTGCAGGAAAGAATGAGGAAGCTCTCTTTGTACTTACATGAAAAGAACCAATATATACTACTGTGTGAAACAAACAAGGTACAGTACAATGTGATAAATATGCTTACTTTTATGCATAAAAAAATAAAATTACATTTGTATTTGCTTGTATCTGCACAAAGAAATTCTGGAAAGATACAAAATGAGCGATAAAAGTGGTTTATTTGAGGGCAGAATGGGTCCTAGGCACATGGAGAACAGGGTACGTGCAAGACTGCATTATATTAATATTTTTTTTAATTAGGAGGTTGAATGACAAAAATGAGAGCCAAGGAGCTGCTATGTGCAAAATAGGCTTATAGGGAGAATGCATGAATTACTTAAAGCAACACTGATTTTTAAATGAATATGCTTGTTGCAAAAACATTCAACTAACATTAAACCAAATCCCCTAAGGACCTCCTCTTAAGTATCACTCACAGGCCTATTGTGAGTTGTTGAAAAGATTTAAAAGCAATAACATGATGCCTGTTTGAAAATATCTTCAAAGTCAAATTTCATACTAACGTCTCAGAATGGTCCCTATGAGTTCAAATTGTGTTTTTTGGTTTTGGTAAATTTTATGAGATGCAAATAGCATAAGCCATGAATATTATAGTGTGAGGTACTACAGGTATAAAGCCTGCATTAAATCTTTATATGAGTGATCTCTCTTTCCCATCAGAAAACTAAGGAATATTTTCAAAATCAAATTCATGTAAATCACTATAAAGAATGTTTGCAATAAAAAAGATATCCAATATTAAAACAACCAAAACCTTTCTACCATATAACTTAGGTCATTAAAAAATTAGTCTTACCTTACTTCAGTTGGTGGATTTGGGGAATAAGGATTTGCAGAACAAGCGAGAATTCTGATGACTGCTCCAGGATGATAGGTTTCTAGAACATGAACAGCTGTAGGATACACCTGTTGTTCAAAAGTAAGTTCCACATAGTCCTGGCTCTGAAAATTAGGTGGTGTCCTCTTGAATGGCAAGGAAGCACTAGGACACTGATCCCACCATGTCCCATAAGTTCGAAACACAGCTGTCTGAGTAAAGTCACCAGAACTTGGGAATACATTTGGTACGCCAGCCAAATTCCACATAGTATAGGACATACTATTCTCACTTCCATAATGGGAACTGAAATCCACTACTTCTTTGGCATACTGGACCACCTCCGCATTGAGAGGAGAAGTCCGGCTGTTTGATTCTATAGTTCTATGGCAGTTCATCATCTCTCCTCTTGTAGCTGTCCTGGCTCGGCGCCGAAGGCATATATAATAAAACATAGTCAGAACTGTTAACATGGGAAAGACCGGTGACATCTAGATGTGAATTATGAAGCTTCAAAAGGTCAGGTGTCCTCAGTAAGACGCATGAACTCTTTGAAGGATGTTCTAAAAAAATGAATGGTTTGGTGAAGTAAAATAATTTAAATAAGCCGAAAAATGCATGGATAAGGTAACAAACAGGCTCTACCCTCAATGTAATTTCCCAGAATGAAACTAAAAAAACAAGTTTTAAAATACAAATGTGAAGTCATGTTCTAATGTATTTTTAAGAAACCTAAATATTGTTATGTATACAATATAGTAAGCAAAACTATATTATAAGGCAATGGAAGATATATAATCCAAAAAGCCGTATTTTATACAAAATTATAGCCATCACTCAAGAAATACTAAGTCTTTGAATCTGAAATTAAAATTATTTAAATTACACGGTGAATGACTAAAATACTGCTGTAAATTCAAAAGAATCTTAGGCATTGCTGTAATTTTACATGTTAACAAATAATTCCCTACTGTTAATTATTACTCTCTTCCAAACATACTAAATTCAGATTTCACATTATGGGAATATAGTTTTTTTGGTGCTGACAGTTAATCCAGATGAACTAAATTAACTGCCGTACACATCACAGATCACCAGACAGTGTTTAATTTATAACTCTTAGCATTATTTGTTAGGGCAGTCCACGACTGGCTGGCATCTGGTTTGTTGCCAGCTACTCTTAGAAATCACTCACCCCGGATAGAATGGCCACAGGATACACATGGGAAATGCAAAAGTTGGCATTCATCCATGTACCCTGAAATTTTCATACTGACTTCAGGTACAAATGCTGACATGTGACATTCTTTTACCTGTAAGACAAGAGTTTTGGAAAATATTTTTATGTCCAAGTCTCAAAGTCAGAATATCCAAAAATATGATTATAAGTAAACAGTCAGTTATTCAACCTTTCAAATCAAACAGGCCACATATTTCTATTTTGTACACAATTTTAAATAACGTAAAATAATGTATTTTTTAGATGTTATGCTAGAATATAATAAAGATTTAATAATGAACACTATCTATAGAGAGGTTGCAAACTCACAGCTTTTGTTTCAAACTATGTTTGCATACATATTTTACCGAGGCCAAACAGGGGTTTTTAAAAATTTGATCTAGTTTGTAACCTTCAACAATCAACAAGACCCCAAGAGGCACGAGCTCTCTCAGTGGCCACTCTTGTTCCCAGCCAGCTCTACCCATTTACAACATAGGCTGGGGCCCATCCTCATTGAGTAGGTAAACTTTTGTTGACAAAAACAAGGAACTATGAAACAAACTTATTTTTGTACCTGTAAAGTCTTGAGTTTAACTTCTAAGAAAGGAGATGTACCAACTTTTCTTTCTTTTTTTTTTTTTTTTTTTTTTTGAGTCAGAGTCTTGCTCTTGTCGCCCAGGCTGGAGTGCTGTGGCACAATCCCGGCTCACTGCAACCTCTGCCTCCTGGTTTCAAGCGATTTTCATGACTCAGCCTCCCGAGTAGCTGGGACTACAGGCATACGATACCACGTCCAGCTAATTTTTTGTGTTTTTAGTAAACACGGGGTTTCAACACGTCGGTAAGGCTGATTTGAACTCCTGACCTCATGTGATCCACCTGCCTCGGCCTCCCAAAGTGCTGGGATTACAGGCATGAGCCACCACGCCCGGTCCCAACTTTTCTTTAATAGAGTGACGTACTAGTCTTCCAAAACTTTAGCACTAAGATTATAAAACATTATTTGCACTAAATGTCCCTTCCACTCAAAAACCTCCAATGCCTTTTTCTTACCTACAAGATATAATCTAAATTCGTTGGTTTGGTATTTTAAGGCTCTCTTCAAGCTGGACCAATCTCATCTTGTCTAACCCAGCAAACCCAATCAAGTTCTAACCACGCTTCGTATTTTACATTAAGTCTCGCTTCCTCTATCATTTCTTTTCTAACCACTTTTTTCCACATCAGTAGCCTTACTTTCTGACACCTACTGGCACTGCATTTCTATAGGACATATATACCTTAGTTCCTCTAGGGTTTATATTAGGAGTAAGTCTCTTGAAAGAGGGAATCTAGCCAAAGATCTTTATTTCTCAAAGTACACAGTACATAATAGGCACAAAATGTTTGACATGTTGATAGAAAGGTGATGAGCAAACTAAAAAATTGTAAAAATCCAAATAATTTTAAATTGTATAACAGCATCCCTTTGCGTCTCATTCCCAGACAGATCCAAACACACTGAAATGCTTAAAAATATAAGCACTGAAACACTAAAGAACTGAACTTGAAACAAGTGCAGAGAATCCACAGTTATAAGAAACTAAGAAGAAAGTCAGCTGGGCATGGTGGCTCACACCTGTAATCCCAGCACTTTGAGAGGCCGAGGCAGGTGGATCACCTTAGGTCGGGAGTTTGAGACCAGCCTGATGAAAATGGAGAAACCCCATCTCTACTGAAAATACAAAATTAGCCGGGCATGGTGGCACATGCCTGTAATTCCAGCTACTCAGGAGGGTAAGGCAGGAGAACTGCTTGAACCCGGGCGGTGGAGGTTGCAGTGAGCCAAGATCGCGCCATTGCACTCCAGCCTAGACAACAACAGCAAAACTCTGTCTCAAAAAAAAAAGTCAATGAGCAGAAAAAAGAGTCAATGAGCAGAGGTGAGGGGCTCAAGCTAATATGACTCATGGAACCAGTTACAGGCCATAATGGTTACAAGGGGGCTCCCTAACACCCAATGAGAGACATTATTTCAAGACACTGGTCACAGTTGGAAGGACCTTCATAAAGCCAAAACTCTGAAAGGATCACCCTATCCATGAAACCGGGACTATAAAAAGTTAGCTCACTGGCGAGGAAGCCCAAGTAGGCATGACATCAACTAAGGCAATGGGGGGAAAGTCACCAGAGGAAATCAGAACCATATTAGGCATGAACCACACATAGAGTGTGGGACTAAATTCACACAACCTTCATGGTTTACAATCCCACCCTATCCTCATGCCAAAAACCGAAAAAAGAAAAGTAGTCCTGAACTGGTGAAACTTTAGGACCTGGTAAGAGCAAATGTGAAAACTCTTTGCAGGAATGCTTCCAAAGCACAGAACAGACTAAACCTTTACTAATGATGCATCACAGTAATAAGTTACAGACCAGAATAGAAAATGAACCATGATGAGAGACAGTCAGTGGACTCACCAAATAGAGGGATTTACAGCACAAGAACAAGAAATAACGGAATAACCAGAATAAGACTTTTTCCAAAGAAGGGCAACAAAGCATATATTAAAATAAATAGGCTGGGCATGATAGCTCATGTCTATAATCCCAACACTTTGGTAGGCCGAGGTGGGAGAATCACTTGAGCCCAGCGGGGCGGAAGTTGCAGTGAGCCAGGATTGCACCACTGCACTCCAGCCTGGGTGACAAAGCCAGACCCTGTCTCAAACAAACAAACAAACAAATAAATAAATAAGGTGTTTCTGTAGCATACACTTATTGGATGTATTCATGAGTCAATGAACCAGATTCACCTCAGGACATATTATACCAAATACTAAAGTATGTCATGTTAAAATTGGGGGAAAAAATAACTACCTGTTATACTACTTCTTTATTCAAACATTTCACCTACCACGAGTATAAATCTGTCAAATTAAAAAAATATATATTTAAGGCTGAGGCTGGAGGATCACTTGAGCCCAGAAGTTCAAGGCTGTAGTGAGTCATGATCGTATCACTGCACTTCAGCCTGAGCCACAGAGCAAGACCCTGTCTCAAAAACAAACAAACAGACAATTTTTCACAACTCAAGTCTCAATCCTTAACACAAAAATTTGAAAGGGCACAAATCTTTCTTTTACCATATACACTTTATTTCAAAATAGGGCTGCAGATAAATTAAGAATCATTTTTCAAAGTTACTTGAGTCTCCTCTTTTCAAGAAGAAACAGAATTAACAAATAAGTTAAAATGCAAAAACAAAATTTAGGAAATAAAGAACAACGTATAACACATATTCAAACCAATTGACAAATCAGCTAATTTGGAAGACTATGGATGTGTTATTCCTGGAAACCATCAAAGGAAGGACAGAAAACCATCTGCCACAGTGGATGAATAAGTTGACTGCTTAATCTTTGGACATCATGTCTCACTCCACGGTCTATAAATTGCTTCAACTAAGCTCCTCCCACTTTCTTTATAAAACTGTGTTTATCAAAAAGTAAAACAGTTTTTTAAAACCAAAGAAATACCTGCAAAATAAAATATCATCATTCATGTGAATTTTCACAAGCATTTTTGGCAAAAAGATTTTAGACAAATTGTGAAAGTCATATTCTGTTTGACATACCAAGCCACAAACTTTGAAACTGTTTCCCAGCTTTTACCATTGTAGATTATAAGATAATATCAAAAGCAGCAAGACTGTCATATGGGCAGTATTATATTTAAGCTGTGTTAAAGTTAAGCAAAATTTTGCATTGAGGCAACATACGAAAAAGTGAGTTATAAACTGTAAATATATGTGTTATATGTTCAAACTTCTTCAATATAGAAATGTAAAATGGATGCTTTAGTTTTTTCCAACTATGGATAAAAATAATATTTAATGCTAATTTTTTCAGGAAATAAAAATGGCAAAAGAAATTTTTAAAGGAAGGAAATGCAGTGTATGACACACTGAAAAAGCAAATATATTTATTCTTTTTCCAGCAGTGCTATTCGGAAAATGTTATAGAAGTTAAAACCTGTTTTTGAAAATAAGCAAGGCATAGAAATAAAAAAGACAAATGTACAAACCCATTGCTAACGTCCTTCATTGATTCTAAACTCCTTTCCAATCTACTAAGATGACACATAAAAGTGTTTTAGGGGTGGGGAAGAACATATGGAGAAGAAAGGATAGCTCTCTCTACTTTTCCCTGGGAAATGAAGCTGAAAAAGGGAATGAAGCCATTGTCTCAGGACTCGTGTGGGGAGCAACGACCAATGCAGAAGTCCAAATTGTCCAGGCGCTGTCTGGACTTCTGCCAAGGCATGGAGGCAATTTGTGGTAACCAATGAATATCCCAGTGGGCAATGAACCAAGTGTAAAAGATACAATAACTCTATTTTATGAGGAGAATGGGATTCAAAGATAAAATTATTTTTCCCACCTGGTGCAAATAAATAAATATTAGTCAGGAACACTTTAATTTGTCCAAAAGAGTGATTATAAAATGGACCTTCCGGGAGACATTCTCTTTTCTTGTTCATTCAAAAAGCTATTTTAATTTTAAAGACTCACAACATATAAAAATATTATTTTCCATTTAGAGTAAGTCAGAATTAGGATGATCTTCATTTCATTTGTTGCTTAATTCAATCACTGATAAACAACGACTATAAGTGAGAAATTCTCTACACTGAACATTTATACTAGCACAATCAAGGAATACCAAAACAACAGCCATTTTAACTTGTATCATGAGACTTTCGTACTCCTTGGGAAACAACTTGCTTTTATACGACATGATTTTTTTATAATACAACTTAGGTTTCAACCACATCTTCCATATTATAAAATGCTTAACAAAGTTAAATAACACAATTACAGAGAAAGCAGTAACAGTGGAAAAGAGAAATTAAGAGGTATAGACAAGGGAGAACATATGTTTACTACTGAGATTTGAAGTGAGATGGGGAATCGATGAGGCGGAGAGAAGCAGGATGGCAGGAGCTGCCGAGAAGTCGGCTTGTACTTCGAAGGGAAAAGGAGGAAGGAAAAGGACTGTTAATAAAATAACAAAGGGAGCGATCAGAATGAACTAGAGCCAGGATAGTGTAAAGGCTAGGTTCACAGTGAGATGAAAGTACCTGAAAACAACTTTAAAACGGAAAAGAGGATTCTCAACATATACTAAAGTGAAAAAACATGGAAAAAGACAAAAAGGACAGGCAATAAGGCACAGGCATACATAGAAGGCAAATTGTAACAATATTTACTTGCAAAAGAGCCCAGAGAGACATGTCAATGAAGTCATGGGGGGAGGGGGGAAAGAGTAAGTTTAGACAGCTTTGCTACATAGTACCAAAATGTAATTAGAATGCTCCATGTGGTAATGACTCAAGAAAAAAGGCCGACCCTTAAATGATTATTATTTCTGAATCCTGCTGAAACTGATCAAGACACACTATTTTGAGGAAGGACTTTTCTGCTTGAATCTAGAAATCAAAACATAGGGGAATGAAAGAAAGTATTAATGGAAAAAGAGGGGAATGATACGTGAATTTGATGCAGCATCTGAAATTCCTATCAGTTCTCTTTCCTGGCCAGCCACCTCTAGCTTTTATATCAACTTGTGCTCTTATGCCCCCTCTTGCCTCTGGTAACTTCTCAGTCTCCTCCCAGGTTTTCTTCTTCCTAATTCTTCTCATATACACAGAGGTACCATTAAAGGAAGGCTGTCTTTTTGATAACATGATATACAAGAACATTCAATCTAACTTTGAGCCCGCCCTCCCCTTCCCTTTCATGTCCACACCCACCACCCTTGCTGTAGACCCATCAGAACCTCCATCATGCTCTCAGCAGCACTCCTGCTTTCATGCCTCAGCATCCTGAAATCTTCAACTAAGGCTGGATGGCTCTGGAATGCCCACTCTCTTCCACTGCTTGGCACTCTCTTACTCAACCTTCAAGGTCAGGTTCATACTTTATCTACCATGCACCTTTCCTCTGCTCTTCTATGTTCATATGATTTGCTATTCCTTACATGCTGAAATATTTCTCTACCTGAATAGACTTATCCCTCAAGTTTGGAGAACATGCCTTAATTATAACTATACCCTTAAGGCCTAGCACATGCCAATATATGCTCAATAAACATGTGTTGTTTTACGGAGATTGGAAGAGTAGACGGCATAAGAGAATTAAAATAAATCAGTTTAAAATAAACACAGAAATGAAACCAGCGATTCTTCATGATAAGGCACATGTAAACCAAAAAATGATGCAAGAAATGTTCCATATCTTGATACAGAGAAAAAGAGAGAGGAAATGGGTAATAAAAACTGAAACGCAACAGGTAAAAATCAAATGTATGAACTTCTTTGAAGCCATCCAAGAAGGAATAGTACATATATTGAAATTTTACTGTTCAAAGAGAATGAAAAAAGTGGCAACTTCTGTTAGTACAAAAGCAGCTTCTGAATACATAAGAGTCTTGATTCTGGTCACAAAGAAACTGATTGAAATTAAAGAAAGATTCATGAAAGAGACGATTAGAGAGGTAAAAGAAAGCTATTTCCTCAAATACAACGATGTTTTTGCACTCCAAATCTATGTTAAAGTGGTACGTTGATTATGGAGAACTGGAAAAACTATGGCTGAAACAGAATTTCTTAAAGAGATAACCTACGAGTTAAGACAAAAGAGACGGAGAATCGCTTGAACCCGGGAGGCAGAAGTTGCAGTGAGCAAAGATCGCACCACTGCACTCCAGCCTGGGTGACAGAGCGAGACTCCGTCTCAAAAAAAAAAAAAAAAAGAGAGAGAGAAAGAGAGAAGAGACAGGCTGTAATATAAGAGCAAAGGTAACAAAACAGGTTAATATTGTTCTGGTATTAGATGGATGTAAAGGAGCAAAGGCCAAGCATTGGAAAAACTCCTCTTTTTCTTCATCATAATTATTGATATTCTAATTGTACTAGATCTTAAAAAACACTGAAAAAATGTAATAGTGTCAGTATGGAAATTACTTGGGATGGTATCTTAAGGTTTTATGTGCCTCTCTCTTCCTCTAAATAAATTCTTCCCCAGTTAAAACATTTTTATTGGCCGGGCGCAGTGGCCCAAGGCTGTAATCCCAGCACTTTGGGAGGCCGAGACGGGCAGATCACGAGGTCAGGAGATCGAGACCATCCTGGCTAACATGGTGAAACCCCGTCTCTACTAAAAAAATACAAAAAACTAGCCGGGCGAGATGGTGGGCGCCTGTACTCCCAGCTACTCGGAAGGCTGAGGCAGGAGAATGGCGTGAACCCGGGAGGCGGAGCTTGCAGTGAGCTGAGTTCCGGCCACTGCACTCCAGCCTGGGCCACAGAGCAGACTCCGTCTCAAAAAAAAAACAAAAAACAAAAAAAAAACCATTTTTATTATGACTGTATTTTTCAAATCAATAAGGCCCCAATGTAGAAAAAATAGGTGGAGTTCTTACCTGAAACATATGGATCAAGAGGAAGACTGGAGACTCCTATCCAGCTTCAAAGCTTCTTGAAAATCCAAGCAAATGAAGCAAATGGAGAAGGCAAGGGAACCAGGCCAGGAAGAAAAATCTAAAAGGAGAGCAAAAACCTTAAAAACCAGAGGTAAATAGTACCACTCTCTTCAAGGAATCAAGGTAGATCTCAAAAATCAAGGAAATGATGCAAAAAGTCTGGAACACAGTAGACTGCAAAATCTTCTGCTGAGTTAATGAATAAATGGCAGGAACTAAGCAAGAGGTAACCAAGAAGTCAACTAGGAACGAATCTATTGGAAAACAAGAGATAAGATTCAGAACAAATTTAAACTACGAATTGATAAAGGTTAGTTCTGCAGAATGTATTCTTTCTTTCCTAGAGTTTCTTTAACAAGCGTATCTAAACTTCTGAAATATTTCATAATCAATCTTTAGTAGCAAGAAAAGCAGAAAAAGGAATTGAAGAAATCTTTTTTTTTTTTTTTTAAAGTAGAGCTATAGGATGAGTGGAATGGTTTTTTTGTTGTTGTTGTTGTTTTTCTGATATAATGGATCTGGAAACCCTCTTCCTGCCCAAGATGCTATCTCAGAGTGACAAGAAAGGATATGTTTCTAATTACACAGGTAAGATGACACAACATAACTTAGAAATACATTCCATTGTTATATTACCTATATATTACCTTTTTCTTCAGGGTTTAATGATGGGTAAGAACAAGCCATCTGAATGAGAAGAACTGTGAATCTGGAATAACCCTAAATCTTTAGCAGATACGCAATGCATATTTAACTGAAATATTAAAGATTGGAGATATCTGGTTGAGGATAAATTTAAGGAACTTACTGAAGAAAGAAAAAATGATATTTTGTTTATTAAAGTCATCCTAATTATGTGAATTTACTGTAGCCAAATATTAGCCATATATTTTTGTACATTAACATAGAGAACATTTTACCTAGAAAAAAATATAACAAAAAATGCCTAACAAAAATCCAAGGACAATACGTCTGTCATAGCTTGCCATTATAGTTAAAATAGCAACTAACTAAAATGGTTTAATACTGTTAAATTAACTTTAGTATAAAACGCACCCCACTTTAAGCATATAATTTGATGAGTTTTGACAATGACAGAAACCAACATAACCACCACCAAAACCAAGAGACAGAATATTACCCCAGCCTAAAAGGTTCCCTGGTCAATCACCTATCCACAACCTGCGCCAGGCAAAAACTGATCTGCTTTCTGTCACTACAAACCAGATTGTCCTTTATTCCAGAATTATATGAAAGTGAAATAATATAGTATGTATAGTTGACCCTTAAACAACACAGGTTTGAACTGTGTGGGTCCACTTATATGTGCCTTTTCTTCTGTCTCTGTGACCTCCGAGACAGCAAGACTGACCCATCCTCTTCCTCCCTCTCAGCCTATTTAACATGACAACCATGAGGATGAAGACCTTTATGATGACCCATTTCCACTTAATGAAGAGTAAATATATTTTCTCTTTCTTATGATTTTCTTAATATTTTCTTTCTCTAGCCTATTTCATTGTAAGAGTACAGTATACAATACATATAACATATAAAACATATATTAACCAACTGTATATGTTATCAGTAAGGCTTCCAGTCAACCATAGGGTATTCAGTGGTATTTAAGCTTATGGGGAGTAAAAAATTATAGCTAGATCAACTGCATGAGGGATCGGCACCCCTAACCTTCATGTTGTTTGAGGATCAACTGTATTATTTTATATCTAGCTTATTTTATTCAGCCTGTCTTCCAGATGTACCCATGATGCTATGTGTATGAGTAATTCATTTCCTTTTTATTCTGAATCAAATCCTATTATACAGTTGACCCTTGAACAATGTATGGGATTGGGGCACTGACCCCCTGTGCAGTAAAAAATCTGAATATAGGCTGGCATAGAGGCTCATGCCTGTAATCCCAGCACTCTGGGAAGCTGAGGCAGGTGGATCACCAGAGGTCAGGAGTTTGAGACCGGCCTGGCCAATATGGAAAAACACTGTCTCTACTAAAAATAAATTTTAAAAAATCTGAGTATAACTTTTGACTTACCCAAAACTTTACTAATAGCCTACTGTCGACCAGAAGGCTTACCAATAACATAAACAGTTGATTAACGTATTTTGTAAGTTATATAATGTATTCTTACCATAAAGTAAGCTAGAGAAAAGGAAGTATTGTTAAGAAAATCATAAGAGAAAATATACTGACTACTCATTAAGTGAAAGTGAATTACCACAAAGGTCTTCAGTCTGATCTTCATGTTGAGTAGGCTGGGTAGGCTGAGGAGGGAGGAGGAAGAGGAGGGGTAGACCTTGCTATTCAGACTACAGAGGTGAAAGTGATGGAGGAGGTATAAAAAGAGGCAGGAGAGGCAGGCACATTTGGTGCAACTTTATGGAAATATACTATAATTTCTGCCTGATTTTTTGCTTTTTCATTTCTCCAAAAATATCTCTATACAGTACCAATCCTTCTTCTACCGTTTGCTTTAGTTGCAGTGTCCATGTCACAGAAGGGTCCATGTTGTAAAAGAAGTCAAAACCGTCCAGAATAACTGGAACTTTCTGCCAGATTGTCTAATGTCAATTTGTTTTCTGGCACTGCTTCTTTTATGTCTTCTTCCTCGTCATCTGGCACTAATTCAGAAACACTCGTCTCCACCAAGTCGTTTTCTGTTAACTCCTCTGGTGTGGAGTCTATTAGCTCTTGAATTTCTCTAAGATCCGTATTTTGAAACCCTTCATCCTCCTCCCCCTGCACCTTTTTTTTTTTTTTTTTTTTGCCATATCTACAATCTAGTTCATGATTTCCTTGATTGGTTCTGTCATATATCCTGTGAAGTCACGTACACTATCGGTACAGTTTTCTTTAATTTTCTTATTGTTTGAGTCTTGATGGCCTTCACAGTTTTTTCTGTAACAATGGCATATTTATGGTGTAATCCTTCTGAACATACAGGTTCTCTCTGTTGAGGTTCTCATCCACAGAGCTGACAGTTCTTTCCATAGAGTACCATGTATAATAAGCCTTAAAGCTCCTTACGATCCCCTGATCTGCAGGCTGAATTAGGGACATTGCATGTGGGGACAAGTGGAATACTTCGACATCTTCAGTGGTAAACTCGTGGAGTTCTGGGTGGCCAGGGACCTTGTCTGATACCAAAAGAACTTTAAAAGGCAGTCCCTTATAGCAAGGTATTAATACCTCCTGACTTCAGGGAGAAAGCATTGATGAAATCAATCAAGAAAAAGAATTCTCACTGTCCAGGCCTTCTTGTTACATAACCAAAAGACTAATAAGTGGCATTTACCTTTTCTGTTTAAGGCTGGGGGTTAGTAGCTTTACAAATAAGGGGAATCTTGATCATAAACGCAGATGCATTTGCACAAAACACCAGTTACTCTGTCCCTTCCTGCCTTAAATCTTGGTGCTTGCTTTACTTCTTTAATAACAAATGTCTTTTGTGGCTTTTTTTCCCCCCAGAATAGGGCACTTTGTCTGCATTTAAAACCTGACTGAGGCTGGGCGCAGTGGCTCATGCACTTTGGGAGGCCAAGGCAGAAGGATCACTTGAGACCAGGAGTTCAAGACCAGCCTAAGCAACACAGGGAGACCCTGCCTCTACAAAAATAAAACATAGAAAAATTGCCAAGTGTGGTGGTGTGCACCTGTAATCCTAGCTACCTGGGAGGACTGCTTCCACCTCAGGAGCCTGGGGCTACAATAAGCTGTGATCATGCCATTGCACTCGAGCCTGGGTGACAGAGCAAGATCCTGTCTCCAAAAAAAAAAAAAAAAAAAAGACAAGACGGAAGGAAGACAAGTCAAGAAGGATGGATGGGATTGGGTGCCAAGATGGCCAAATAAGAACAGCTCCAGCCTCCAGCTCCCAGTGTGAGCGACAGAGAAGATGGGTGATTTCCGCATTTCCAACTGAGGTACCGGGTTCATCTCACTGGGGCGTGTCGGACAGTCGGTGCAAGACAGTGGGTGCAGCCCAACGAGTGAGAGCAAAAGCAGGGTGAGGCATCCCCTCACCTGGGAAGCGCAAGGGGGAAGGGAATTCCCTTTCCTAGCCAAGGAAAACCATGACACACAACACCTGGAAAATCAGGTCACTCCCACCCTAATACTGTGCTTTACCAAGTTCTTAGCAAACGGCACACCAGGAGATTATATCCCACACCTGGCTCAGAGGGTCCCACCCTCATTGCTAGCACAGCAGTCTGAGATCTAACTGCAAGGCGGCAGCGAGGCTGGGGGAGTGGCGCCCACCATTGCTGAAGCTTAAGTAGGTAAGCTGCCGGGAAGTTCGAACTGGGTGGAGCCCACCGCAGCTCAAGGAGGCCTGCCTGCCTCTGTAGACTCCATCTCTGGGGACAGGGCATAGCTAAACAAAAAGCAGCAGAAACCTCTGCAGATGTAAATGTCCCTGTCTGACAGCTTTGAAGAGAGTAGTGATTCTTCCAACACGGAGGCTGAGATCTCAGAACTGACAGACTGTCTGCTCAAGCGGGTCCCTGATTCCCAAGTAGCCTAACTGAGAGACATCCCCCACTAGGGGCAGACTGACACCTCACACGGACGGGTACACCTCTGAGACGAAGCTTCCAGAGGAACAATCAGACAGCAACACTTGTTGTTCAGCAATATTCTCTCTTCTGCAGCCTCCGCTGCTGATACCTAGGCAAACAGGGTCTGGAGTGGACCTCAAGCAAACTCCAACAGATCTGTAGCCGAGGGGTCCTGACTGTTAGAAGGAAAACTAACAAACAGAAAGGACATCCACACCAAAACCCCATCTGCATGTCACCATCATCAAAGACCAAAAGTAGATAAAACCACAAAGATGGGGAAAAAGCAGTGCAGAACAGCTGAAAATTAAAAAAATCAGAGTGCCTCTCCCCCTCCAAAGAAACGTAGCTCCTCGCCAGCAAAGGAACAAAGCTGGACGGAGAATGACTTTGACAAGTTTAGAGAAGAAGGCTTCAGTCGATCAAACTTCTCAGAGCTAAAGGAGGAACTATGAACCCAGCATAAAGAAATTAAAAACC